TCTAGAAGCACAAGGATGCCCAGAGGAGATAAAGAGCCCTGACTTGTGTGCCTTGCTTATGAGCACTTCTCAAAATCAACAAATATTCTCCTTTTAGACAAGAGCATAAAAGCAGTTTTGTGAATCACAAATGGACCTTGAACTTTCTATTTACAGTAACACAGCATGTCGTTTTCAGGCACAAGCTCAGGCCTCCCAGCCCCAACGTGCTTTCAGCTTAGTTCAGTCCAGCATGTTTTCTGAAATGCCATGATGGCTTTCCCTACGCAGCACCCGAGCAGGCTTCTTGGTGAGGACCTGCAGGGAAGCCCCTCACTGCCGCTGCTGCAGGCCACATGCGGCTACATCTACTTCCTCACCAGAATCGGAAGCCGGGCTGAGGTCTCTGAAGAAAGGCAGACGGATATGGGATGTAAACTGCTCTCTCCTCCTCTCCCCCCCAGCGCCCCACCCCTGGAAGTTCCGTGGTTGGAAATTATCCTAACATTTTTATCCTAACATTTTTTAGCCAGGATGTACTAAAATTAGATGGGAACAAAAGCCTGCCGTCTCCGTGTTAGAGGCGGCTGGCAGCGCCCACAGCAGGCTCCAGACTCTTCCCTCCCTGAAGCCAGGGAGCCGCCACCTCCTTAGTTCAGTCCCAACAGAGCCTTGTTCAGCAGTCTCCAAGATGAAGTGCCCTGCAGAGACAGAATGCTAACGAGTGCAGGGGCCCTTTCCTCCACCACAGTCTTTCCTATTCTTTCTAGGCTCCTCAGGGAACATCCAGGATATGCTAATTGCTGGTACATGTGTAAATTTTTGGTCACAGGCGAGACAAAGGTGTTATATTCGCTTTTCTTCAAAAAAGCATCTTGAGAGCCTGCCCAAAAAAGCTCACTAGTTACACACTTGTCGTTTCCTGATGCAGAGATAACAATACATGTTTCAAAATACAACATAGAAGAACTCACCATTTCTTCCAGATGGGCCACTTAAAACAGTAGGTTTGGTGTCTTTCCATCTTCCTCTCCTAAACTAGGCCATCACTTGCAAATACTTTAAGGGACAATTGATCCCTAGGTTGTGAGTCTCCACAGTAGTACCAGCATGACAAAAGTACATTCTGCCAGCCTCTGCATCCCAGTTTTTGAAGTTCTACTCCATAAAAGCAGGATATTGAGACATTCATGTCTTGGGAATTATTCCGATCTTTTTAATTTGGTTTCCCTCGGTCTAAACCACCAGGTCCACAGAGTGACAGCTCGAAATTCTGTTAGAGAAACCCTTTTAATGATTAATCTAATGGTCCATCTTGCAAAGATTTCAGAACTCAGTTAGCACCGGCTCAGGCGCTCTTCTCCCTGGCTACCGGAGCCCATCTCGGCAGCTAAGCTGGAAATGAATGATCTTTCAACGACACTCCGGGGATTTTGCTAAGGTCATATTCAACCATTCATTAGGCTTCTTACCCCTTGCTTTTCAGAGTCCCATTGTAGAGCTGGTTTTATTCAGCATTTATGTAGCCTGTGGGCTTGGGTATTTGTCTGCTTAATGTTGAGTTTCATTTCTATGCCCCTAACATAGGAATTCATCCATTGACCAAAGAATTTCAAACTATTCTTTTCCCTTTCTAACAAATTGCATGGTGTGTATGAAGAATAAATTAGCATTCATTTTCTTCCATTAACAGTTAATAAAACATGCTCATGTGCTTCCCATTCTTCTAAGAATATCTGTTTCCCGCCTGTCGGAAAAAATGATAGAGGTCCCTAATTTTTCCCACTATGGGGCTGCCCCTCAGCCTCATGTTCTCATCTCCACATCCTTCAAGTGGGCGTGTGAGGCTCCTTTCAGGGCTGTGAGCACCACACACACACACACACACACACAGCGCGCGATGAGCCAGAGGGGTCACTGCCCGGAGCAGACACTCAGGCCTTGTGCGCGACGCAAAGGCGTCCCTGGAGCGCACGCTGCAGCCCAGAGCCAAACAGGACATCTGAGCCGGGCCTCCCGCAGCGGCGCACTGGCCCGGGCAGCAGCTGGCGCCTTGCACTTGCCTAAGAGTTTACGTGGTGGCTGCACCCCACGCGCGCACACTACAATCTGAGAGACTGTAGTCAGGCCCACCGACACAGGCAGGGGCACACTCTCGCCCCACAGCTACAGACGCGAAAGCGTCTCAGCCACGGAGAACTTGGTCACTAATGTAGATTCCTTCAGACTTAAGGTTCTATGACACTCTGCGCGAGCATGAATGTGGGCCAATATAGCCAGTGCATTATCGTACCCTAGACATTTTAAAATGAATGAATTAAATGCATTTTTCTCACAAAGACTAAGAATCTCTTGTATATGTTTACACCCCCCCCCCAATAAACAGAAAACCGCCTGCATGTGACAGATGAAGAAGAAAGACCAGCTCATTGCTACCACAATAGGAAAAAATAATTTGAGGACAGTTTGTACTTTTCTCACTGGCGCTGCTGAGGGCAGTGTCAGGGTTGCATCTCATATGCCTGAAAAGCAATTCCAACTTGTACACCTGGCTTAAAACAAAATGTTCTGAAAGCTTTCTACTTGCTAAGTGGTAGAACCAGCCCACTGAGGCCGCAAACCCCTTGTCTCGCGCGCGCACTTCCTCCACACAGAAGTGCCCTGTTACGCAGAAGTAACATTACAATGAAAAGCAGCAATTCTGTGCAGGCTCCACAGAGAAATCTCGTTTGCATTTCAAACAAGCTTCTTCAACACAAGAGTGTCTTTTGATGAAATAAAACTACAATTCCAACTTCTTATCCGAGAACACAGCATTCACAACATAACTTCCCACTCCCTTTTATAAATGCATCATTTTTTGGTTATTCACATATTCATATGATACAATAAAACTGAGTTTGCAATGTATTTATGGCTTTTTCTGCAACGTGGGGACGGACTAGCTTGCGTTCTCAAGCGCGGTAGTGACAGAAGATGCGAGTTTACTGTTCGCATTTTTGGAGCTTTCATTTGTTTTGATCTCAACCTCTGAGAGGCTTTTCCTGCAGGGTTAAAGAGATGCAAAGAGGTGATAACTCTCTTTAACTAAGGTCCTTACTGCCTCTGACTCCCCTCAAAATCCTTCATCTTTGTATGTGGAACAAACACACCGGAAGGACTGTCCAAGCCCGCTATTTCAGCCTGATGATGCCCAGTGTGAGTGTACCAGCCTGGTGTTCTCAAGCAGCATATACTTAACGCAAAAGTCTAAAAAGTATATATGAATCTATTTGAAATAAAAGAAAATGAAGGGGGAAAAACAAACACTAAACCTCCATAAGTTATATTATGTGTTCGTAGGATTTAAGATCCCAGGCCTTGGGCCCACGCTGGTGGTGCAACGGGTTAGAGTGCAGCACTGCAAGCTGGCTGCAACTGCTTCAGCGTGAGTTCGAACCCGGCCCTGTAGCTGACCCACATGGCGCGGCAGGCCTCTTCAGACCCGCCCGCTGCTCCCCTCAGCAGTGGACTTTGTCAGTTGGCCTGTTCCGCTCCCCACGCTGTCTCTGGTGAAGCCTCTCATGGCCCCTGCACTGCTGGCCTGTACCCCAGTTCTGTATGCATAAATAAATCTTTAAAAAAAAAAAAGATCCCATGCTTCTTTGTAAAACTGCATGATTTTAAAAGTGTAACGCATATGTATTTTGAAACAATTTCTCATTATTTACACCTTGAAAATTAAACCTTTGAGAAAATCACATAGAAAATTTATGTAAATGTCTTCAGTTCTCTTCTGCAAGGCTGGCAGCAATCCTGACAGTTGACTTAATCCAACCCGCCCGCACCCCTTTTCCTGGACAAGAAAACAATGTCATGTTGGACTAACTCATTACTGGCGTTAAGATGTGCCAAAAAATCAATTCTGCTGTTTTTTCAACCCCACAACCCCAAATAGAAGAAAAACAATAAAAATCTTTTAATTTTTCTTTAAAAAAGCTCATACTCTGACTCCAATATTAAAACTTCAGTCCAAATTAAAAAACAGCATTAAATGTGAACATACCTGATCTTTTCAAAAAGGTTCATAAACTGCTTCTCCTGCTAACTGGTCCCTCACTAGACCAACTTGTCCCACATCCCCACGGACACAGACACAGAGGTACTCAGCTCACAGGCGACACGACCCAGCTCTTGATTAGGCAAGGCTTCTAAGACACGTGAAGCCATGGGGGGAAGTCACGGGGCTGCCTCCCTCTTCACACAGCCCCTAAAAATAACTGCCCGGCCTGACCACATTTCTAGGGACCAGCTCAGTCCCCCGAAGAGGTCTGGAAGTAGCACCTGGTGCAGAATAGCTCGCGGGAGAGCTACCCCGGCTCCATCAGCACAAGCCGTTGCTATGTAGACACCGGACTAAAATATGACTCAAGATGACACCCAGGAGGGTTCATGACTTAATCAGACAAAACAGCCAACAAGCTGCAGTGTCGCAGTGTCTCCCGGTTCTCTTCTAGTCCCTCTTTGTCCACTCCCATTTACCACACACGTGACGACCAACAATTGTCTCAGGTAATAAAACGTCCTGAGGGGGCCCTCCCTGGTGGCGCAGCAGGTTAAAGCACTGCACTGAGAAGCTTAAGCCACTTTCGCATGAGTTAGATCACTGCCAGTCCCGGAGGAGACCACATGGCATGGCAGACCTCTCCTGACCCGCCCGCTGCTCCCCTCAGCAGTGTACTTCGTTGATCTGCCTGTTCTGCTCCCCACTCTGTCTCTGGTGAAGCCTCTCACCCTCCACATCTCTGGCCTGTACCCCAGTTCTGTATGAATAAATTTAAAAAAAAAAAGTCCTGAAACAGCCACCATTCAAACCAAAATATCCTTCTTGTTATGGCTCATAAGTAATCTAACAAAACACTAAGAAAGCATTTGGCTTATTATTCTGACCCTGGAATGATTTGGTCTGGTCTTTAGAAATAACTATCTTCAATTAAAGTTTACCGAGGCACCAAAGTAAAGACCAGATGCTTTCTGTAAATTCATTTACTGCTTGAAAGTTTTAACTGTTCAGCAGTTACAGTAAATTTTTTTAAACAAAAAGAAAAATATTTACATTTTGAAAACAAAAGAACATGTTTCATTCTTCTTGGCTGAGCGGTAAACCCAGCCACTCAAGTCCACAATTTTTCACCGGCCCGTTCTATCTGTTCAGCATATACATCCTTTGTACTTACTAAGCATTTATTTGCACTGGCATTTGCTGTGACACGCTGACTGATGGAGAGCTTCTTAAGAAAGCCAGCTGAATTTGCCCACTGAAGTCTCACGACTTCTGGAAAACCAATGCTGCTACACTGTTTCCCGACCGGCCTCCGAAGCTGAAAGTAGGTGTCGGCAGCTCTTCGAAAAGTTCAAATCCTGTGAGACAGAATTAAGAGACTTGGATTGGGTTAGGTACTGAAACCCACAGGTAAGGACAGCTGTGCTGTCCCTCTACTTTCAAGCTTGACCTTTGCATAAAACGGAACCCAAGCTCAGATCTGAGACCAAGCTTCCTTTCATGACTCTTCAGTTCTACCACCTGTGACCCACTCCAGGCACTTGAGCCTGAACAAGCAGCAGACGGCCACAACACACTGCGGCTTTCCATCCTTCTCTACCTCCTGCTGAACTGTCCGGCCTTTTTCCTCAGCCCACAGCCCACACCACCTCATCTGGAGCAGCAGACCGGCCGTGCTGGCCTCTCAGCTGCTTCCAGCGCTGTCTGAGCACTGTCCACGTCGCCACGCCGTCCACATGGCCGCCTCATACATAAAAGCACTCCACACAGAAGCTTCGTAACATGGACATCAACGCAGGTCTGGATGGCACTTCTGGGGTGCAGTGATGGCAGGCCACACATGCTCGGGACACTGCCTGGCACACTTAGAAATGGCTCAACAGCAAATTCTGCCTCGGACATGTTTCTATTTTTATATTTATTATATACTTATGTTTTTTATGAAAAAATAAAGACCCAAAGTAAACTGACCTTTCAAAAGGCCTGAGAGAACAAGAAACTAGTAACTTTCAAAGCAGCCAGTGAGGTTTAAAAAAAAAATACAACAAAATGTTTCAGTAAATAAGGCTATAAAGGAAAAACTCAAGATCCACCGCAAGTTTTGTGAACCTCTGTCATCTAAACAAGGAAAGAAGCGAAGAACCTTAGCCTGGCGGCTCGAGCTTCATGCTGGGCCAAAGGCACCTGGACGCAGGCGTGGCCAAGCCCCTTCTCCACCTGCACCGAATGCCAAGGCCGACACCACAGCCAATGCTTGCCCAAGCAGTATCTTCAAGTGTATGTCACTGTCTCTTTAGCACTTCCTGCTGCAATACCGAGCTTATTTAAAGTCCTTATTAAGGTCTAAAATAGAACATAAACTATTTACTCAGTAGTTCCCACACACAGCCCCATTTCTATGCACTCGTTACCAGGCTAAAGCCTGTTCCTAGTTATCACAGACAGACGATTATGGTTTTGTCTGGTGGCTCAAGGAGTAACAGAGAGCACCTGTACTAAAAGCCAGGAAGGGAGCTTGCCCTACACCATGTAGTTTGAGCATTTATTGAAACTGTCAAGCTTCAGGAAGAGGCAAAGACTATTGATATGGGGCCTCTGACAGCTTTAAAGGAAACAAATTTAACATGGAAGATAATAAAATTCATGGCATAAAAGACAGTAAATCACGCAGAATTCTTGTTTTCCAGAAGAACAGTAATGAAGCCACAAGCTCACATTTCAAGCCTCAAACACTTCAGAGTTTACATCATGTAGCCTGCCAGTCAGGGACAGACACAAGAGGACATATGTGAGGTGCTCTCCTGCCTACTGATTCCCCTTGTTACCAAGAAGAAAACAAACTGGAAGATAAGCAGACACAAGACAGCTATGCATGCATTGCTTACTAGCTTGTGACCACTGAGGATCAAACTTTAGTGCTATGCTATTTATGAAGATTCTAGCCTGAAACGTTTTCCCGACTCCTTTAAAAAGGTAATAAAAGGCTTCTAAGGAAAAAGAAGCAAGTATCATAGATTCCCAAGGTAGCTTCCCAGAAATGCCAATGCACCACAAGAATAAAGGGGCAGTAAGATACCCCTTAAACCTGCAAGAAGGGGCCTCCCTGGTGGTGCAATGGGTTAAAGCACAGTCCTGTGAAGCTGATCTAGCCACTGTGGCACAAGTTTGACCCCAGCCCAGAGGCTGGCACAGACCTCTCCTCTCTGGGCCCCCTGCTCCCCTCAGCAGTATACTCCATCGATCTGCCTATTCTGCTCCCCACTCTGTCTCTGGTGAATCCTCTCACCGCCCCTGCACATCTGGCCTGTACCCCAGCTCTGTATGTATAAGTAAATCCTTAAAAAAAAAAACCTGCAAGGCACAGTCTGCCAAAGAACTTAAGATATTTATGTACAGATTATAGATCTTCAATTCTCAATTCTTCAGACCACACAGCACTGACAATACTTTGCTCTTGGGACAAAAATGGATTCTGTCGTGGTACCAAAATCTTGACAAACAGAGATTTCCTCAAGAATTAATGGGTAGTATTTCTACTATCAGATCCCTATACTGTTCCTGTGCTCTGTTCAAAATAGCTGTTCTATGTGCACTGAAAATCCTAAATATCTAAACGATCACCAGGCTGGACGTACAACAAACCCATCACACCATAACACACCTGACAAAAGTAATACGTGCGTCTGTGTCCTGCACCCTCTTCTTCCCAACTCCCAGCAAACTGCACGGAGGTCAGAAGCACAATATATGTGCTTGCTTTTTGTGGTTTTCTAAATAATAGATCACACAGCTTAAATAATGAACATAATTTTTACAGGCTCATAAATTTTAGTACTTAACTCCCAAAAATTCTTGGAAAATTTTGAAAAGAACTCTGAATCTCAATGTTGTTTCTTTGTTCTTGGCATATACCACGGAAAGTGTTACCAAGGTCATCAACTGAGAAGAAAAGCAGCAATTCCCACAAACAGAAAAGGCAAAAACACACAAATACCAAGGGAAAAAAGCCTCCTTAAATACATTAAACCTGAGATAAGCACACACTTAAGCAACACGTAGCCATTTACCTTCACTGAATTCATTTAGCAACTCTTCTTTGGTCCAATTACATGAAGTTATTAGAAAAAAGCCTTTCACTTTCAACACCCTGGAGAGAGATTTCACATATTGCTTCCTCTTCTCGATTGCATTGTCAGGATTAAGGCTTATGGCATCAAAAGTCCCTTTGTCAATACAAATATGAAATCCAGACAGCTTGGCGGAAAGATTCAAAAAGTCTTCTACCTATATTAAAAATCAACGGCTATGTAAGAGTAATTAACACACAATCTTTACTAAATTTAAGTGACGATAATCTGTGAAATATTACAGATAAAAGAGTCCATTACTTATGACAGCATTCTACATACAATAAACGTATTTCCCACTTTACAGCAAACTTTTAAGTGCTTCATTCCAAGATCATTAAAGCTACAATTAGAGAAACTGACAGTGTTTCCCAGACATTTCAAATCTCTACAAATTCAGAAACAAATCAAAGCCAGGTGTACTGCCTAATAATAAAAACACATAATGGAACTCACAACTCTGGTTTATTAAAAAGCATTTCTTTTGATATTTTTTTAAATGGCCCAGAACTCAAACAAGTCATGGGAAATAAGAGGATTCCTAGTTGCTGTTACTAGTTGTGTGATCTAAGTTAAATAATAAACCCAAAGTTTTTGGCCATGACTGAGAAACTGATAGATACAATAAATAGCATAATGCTTAAGAAATTGACTGACTACTTTGAAAACAATATTTTTAATTTTCTCAGTATCATGCACTTTAGATTTTGAAAGTTATACATGAATATCATTCATTTTTAATAAGTTACTGATACACTATAAGCATTTGAATTAGTGATCAATTTCACAAAATTAATAATTTGCCAATGGATTTAATTCTGAAAAGCTATTTTGAAAAAATAACTAAGGAACTAGCTCATAATTACTGACATGAATTTAATGAAATAATCATAAATGGGTTATTACCTAAAATTAACTTGTTTGACTGAAAGTTGTGAATTTTATGCTTACTGGCACCCCACATTATACCTGTAGCAAAACAATGACTTTACTCCCAAGAGCTAAATTTGAAGAAGGTCCTATCCTAAATGCCTTTATAAAAGTAATTAGTTATTCAAGGAGTACATGTTACATGCAGGGACTTCACAGGCCCTGGGAATGTAACAACAGTAAGCAAAACAGAAATGAGAACACAACTTATATTCCCTACAGGGAGAGACAAGCAATAAACATGTTAACCAGATAATTTCAGATAAAGTGCTATGAAGAAAATAAATTCAGAATAACAACGGCAGTGAGGGACTAGGAAGAAAAATGTTTTGGAAAAGTAGGAGGGAAAGGACTATCTCAGGTGCTATTTGAAGCGAGAGCTAAGTGATGAGAGCGAGTCCCTTAAACTAAAATCTGCAGTAAGAATATGGTAGACAGAGAGCAACAAAGACTGGAGAGCGACAGGTTTGGCGCATTTTACAAAAATAGATGCCAGGACTCAAGTCCCAGTGATAAAGAGGGAAAGTGGTAAGGAGTAAGGGGCTTAGTGGGGATTGGGAGTGTTCAGATTCCACTCTGCAATGGAGAGGACTGCGAGGCAGGATGGAAATGAAGATCACTCTTAAAAGATCACTCTTCTGGGCCCGCCCTGGTGGTGCTAGGGGTTAAAACACAGCACTAGGAAGCTGTCTGCAATCACTGCACCATGAGTTCGATCCCCATCCAGGGAGCGTCCCACATGGCTCAGCAGACCTGTCCTGTCATGCCCACTGCTCCCCTCAGCAGTGTATTTCAGTAGAGCCACCTAGTCCACACTGTCTCTGCTGTCTCCTCTCACCCATTCCCCACCCCCACCCCCCCACACACACCTCTTGCCTGTACCCCAGTTCTTATGTTCATAAATAAATAAATCTTTAAAAAAAAAAATCACTCTTCTGGTGCATACTCATGGGCAGCAGGGAAATGGGGAGGGTAGCCAAGAGACCACTGAGCCATCCAGGCAGAGAGATGGAGGCCTGGACTCGCGGGCAGCAGGAGGCCTCACATGACACCTTCATGATACCCTCTGAAGACAAAACAACAGAACTGCGTGTCAGGTTAAAGGACAGCAACGGAGCAGGGTGGCTCCCTGGGTCCTGGGCTAAATGAGCATTCACAAGTGGCATAATGGAGATGGACAGACGGGGGAACCCAAGTTTAGGAGGAAAGCAAAGGCTTCTCTTCAGGCTCAAGGCGAACCGAAGAATATGCAATGACCATGATTCCAGGGCACAGTGGAGACGCGTCGGCTACAAGTACAAATGCAGGAGGGCTCGTCTCCTCAGGGGACACAGGACTAATCGTCGGTGAAAGGATACCACTTTCTGGGTTTACAGCTTTTTGATGTAGTTAATTCAAAGCTAGCTGCTATTTGTGGGGAGAAAACACCTGCACACAAGAAGAGCAAACAACTTCCCCAAACTGACTAGGCTGTGATCTTTAATAGTTATTTTTAAATGTTTCAATTTGGATTATTTATAGTTGAGTTCAAAAGACATCAGAAATTTAATATACTTCTAAAACATTTAAACTTTGTAATGTTAAAGATAAATTATAGTACTATAAATAAGTTACCTTCAGCTTAATGTTAGAGAAACCTTCCTTCTCTATAATGTTTCCAGAAAGCTGTATTGCAGAAGGAGAGTAATCGATTCCAGTAATATCAGAAAAACCGAACTTTGCCTAGAGACAGAGAAATAATTTTATATTTTGACTTCTAAAAGTTTCAGTATAATGTTTTGCCCTTGAACTATAGTATTTCTGTAGGACGAGGGTTGTTTTAGTTTTTAATAGACAAAGTGATATATACTGCCCAATAAACTATAATGTTTAGATTTTATTGAAAAACCTAAATAAAAACTAAATGTTTAACTACATAATGTCATAACTCATTTACTTTTATATCTGACTTCTTTTTCCAAAAGGAAGCTCATTTTCTCAAGGTTAATGAGGATATATGTGCAACATTTCTGCCCTCAAGCAGGAAAAATGCAACATTACATTCAACTTCTGACTCACATAAGTTTGTCATAAACTTTGCTTAATACAATTAAGTTATTTATGAACAAATTAAATGCACAGGTAGTAGGTTCTTCATTTTCAAGTTTCCCTTCAGTGTAATGCAATTCTCTACTAGCCAAGTGACTACTAACCACCTTACATTTGTACAGTTTTTTAAAAAAAATTCATAAATTCATACATTCAAATAGATCTTTACCAAAAAAAAAAAAAACTGAGGTTAGCAAGTTAAATGAATATCCCCAAAGAATCCAAAAAGAAAAGCTCATGATCTGAAGTTTTAAGACAAAAGCTCCAAACCCTGCTGTTTATGAGTCAAACAGACCGACTGCAGGCGCTGTAGGGCCTGTGGCTTCTGGTTCTCCTCCCAAGCCCTGGCGATGCTGGACACTTTGAGACCCATCAGGCTAAAGGTGACTTCAAAGGAAATGTGAAGAAGGCAAAGTACAGTGTAGCCTAACGTGTAGCATTCCTGCTTTTCATTTACTGAATGGGTACTTCTGACAAAACTTAGCCTGCTCCCAGACCACCCACTAAGATCTCCGTAGACTCATCACACTTAGATGATTAAGTACTAAACTCAAGTAACACACCAGTTATATTCCATTGAGCATTTTGTTCTTTCTTTATTTTTCATTTTTAACCTTAAGGTCTAATATCCCTTTTAAGGAGCCTCCTACTCTCAGCTTGTCAAGATAGTCATTTTCTCTCAGTTTCCTTTAACTCCTTCTCATTAGACCTAGAACACAAAATGACTTCACTAATTGACTCTTTCCAGTTCCCTCTTCTTCCATGCCTGTTTATTCTTCCAGTAGAACTTATAAAAACCATGTATAGGTTTCTAGAACAATCAAAGTCTCCAACTACCTCCCACATTTTTCACACTCAATTTCTGGCACTCAGTGAAAAACATGTATTCAAGGAAATGATAATGACCAAAACCAAAGGGTAAAAACCTTAGATAAAGATTCACAGGAGACCCAAATTGTGCGTGTGTGTGTGTGTGTGTGCATATGAGAGAGAGAGAGAAGAAAAGAGTGAGAGAAAGAAAGAGCTGGAAAAGGTCCAAAGAATATATAAGCAAAGAATGGCAAAAGAATGAAAAAAAGGAAAAGACAAAATGTGGCACAGAAATTAGTAATATTAGATATGAGTATGATATCTAATATATATAACAGGATGAAAATAGACAGATGAGAAAATGACCTATGGATGAGAATTTTCTAACCGATAAAGGAATTACCACGGATTCAAAGCAATATAAAAGCCACAGGCATGATTATAACCACAAAGTGTACTATATCTGATAAAAACCATAAACAGAAAAACCTCAAAAGCATCCAGTGTTTATGGGGGAGCAAGAGGAAAAATTACCTTCAACAGACCTACAGTAATCCTATAGCTGACAGTAAGTTATAAGGAATGAAGACCAAAAGACAATGAAAAAACATGCCAACCTAAAATTATATACCCAGTCAAAAAAGTGCAAAAATTTATCTAAAATGAAGCTGATTTTTGAAAAAAACCACTGATATAAAATATACTGTAATATCACAAAAATACACTATATATACCACATACACAAATATGTGTTATGTGTCTAATAAGTTTAAGAAAAAATGAAAAGTCAGAGCTCAGCAAAAAAAAAAAAGTTTTAAAGAATCAACAGAGGAGGCTTTGTCAGTCACATAGTCTCTGTTACAGTTATTCAGCTTTACCACTGCAGTGCTAAGTAAAATTCAAAGAAAACAACCAATGTTAAAGATCATTATACAGTAAAAAGGTCAATTCACCAACACAGAGACAGTCCCAAATGTAGTCTCCTTACAACAGAACTTCACAATACATACAGGAGAACTGACAGAAATCAAAGAAAAAAATAGACAAACCCACAATCAGAATCAGCTAATTTTCATAATAAACAATTTATAGACAGAAGATATAGAACTGAATAACACGATCAAAAAATGGATCTAACTTATATCTACAGAATACTCTCCCTAATAACACAGTATGTCCTCCGACCACGATCAAATTAGGTTAGTCACAACAGAGAGAGAAAAGTCCCCAACAATAATCCACGGGTAAAGGAAAGTCAAAACACGTTTTAGAATGAATAAAAATTAAAGTGCGGTATCAAAATGAGCAAGAGAGGAATACTTAGAGGAAAACTAACAGCATTTCTAGCATTAAATGTTTATATTAAAAAAGAATAAAAGTCTCAAATCAACCATCTAAACAGCCACTTTTACCTAAAATAAAGGAGCAAAAATAAAAGCTGAAAGAACACTGAAAATGAAAATACAAAAACAGAGAAAGTAAAGAAACTAAAACTGATTTTTAGAAAAGATTAAAAATATAAATCTCAAGCATCACTGGTCAAAGAAAACCAGAAGATACAAGTTACTGATATGAGGAATAACTGAGGGGATTACCACCACAGACCCCACAGATACTAAAAAGAGAAAATATTTTGTAGGACCTTGCACACAAATTCAAAATGGACCAACTTCTCAAAAACTACAAACGATGCAAGTTCATGCAAGGGAAAGAAAGATATGAGATTACAGCTTATTAAAGAAATTTAATTCATATTCAATACTTCAGAAATCTCCAGGTTAAATGGTTTCATGGTGCATTCCATCAAACATTCAAGAAGAAATAACACTAATTCTATATAATATCTTAGCAAAATAAGAAGGGAGGGAGGGAGGGCACACACCAGCCCATCGAGTGAAGCCAGCAATGCCACAGCTCAAACCAAACAAGAAAAGGCACAGAGGGAAACTGCAGACCAAGATCTCCCAAGGACACAGATGTAAAAGTTCTCCATGAAATAATAACAAGTTCAATTCAGCAATACATAAACAGAGTTACACTGTGATCCTATTATTTAAAAAATGCAATGCTGGTTCAATATCTGAAAATTAGCCAGTACAGTGAGCATATTAACAATTTAAATAAAAACCTCATGATTATAATCATGAGAAAAACATAAATATAAATAACATATACATCATTAAGGTATTTTCTAGTATTCAAAATTTGTATTAAAATATCAAAAATTTTTTGGGAAAAAGCAACATTCAATCTAGAAAGAGAAGGAAATGGGCATCTAAAAAACCCTATAGCTAGGCCTCCCTGATGGCACAGGGGTTAAAGCACAGCACTATGAAGTTTCTGCAGCCACTGCAGCACCAGTTCAATCCCTAGCCAGAGAGGTGACCCATATGGTACGGCAGACCTCTCCTGTCCCACTCGCTGCTCCCTTCAGCAGTGTATTTCAGTACATCTGCCTGTTCTGCTCCCCACTCTGTCTTTGGGGAATCGTCTCAACCCCCACACCTCTGGCCTATACTCTAGTTCTGTATGCATAAATAATAAATAAATCTTAAAAAAAAAAAGAACACTCAAAAACACAAAACCAGTGACAGAGAGCAAATCAGTAACCACTAAGGGAAAGAGGGTAGCTCCCTAGGATAGTAAGCAACTTTTCTGGATAGATCCGTTCTGCATTTTGATTGTGATGTACTTGCATCAACCTCTCCGTGTGATAAGATTCATAGACTTATATGCAAAAGTTATTTTTACAATGCAGTGACTTTTTTAAAGTTTAACAGGAACTTATGAACAACTTCCTGCCAATAAAATGTGAAATTTAGGTAAGTGAATAAGTTTCTTAAAAGATACAAAACTGATTCAAGCCCTAAAAAAACAACAACAAAAAAAAAACCCACACCCAGGGTATGTCCCCATGAAACCTTCCATATAGTTAATGAAGAAAAGGTAATCTTACACAAATTCTCCCAAAGAATAAATAAATACTTCCCCAAAGAAAAAAAGAGAGACACCAAGATAACCTAGATAGAAAAACTTTACAGGAGGGCCTCCCTGGTGGCACAAGGAGTTAAGTCGCAGCACATGAAGCCATCAGCAGCTACTGCAGCAAACCCCTCCAGCCTCCCCACGGCCCCACTCTGGAGTGCATTTTAGAAGATCCACCTGTTCTGTCCCCCACTCTGTCTCTGATGAACCTTCTCACACCCATACCCCCACACCTCTGGCCTATACCCCAATTCTTGTATACATAAATAAGTAAACCCTTAAAAAAAGGAACCTTATGAAAATTCCTGATAAAGGAAATTACTGGCTAATCTCTCTTGTCACTATACAAATTCTAAGCAAAATACTGCCAAGTCAAAACCAGTACATGGAAAGGCTAACACACCACTCCAATTTGATTTACTTCAGAAATGGTAATTTAACACTGAATAATCACAAATGATCTCAATTAAATGACATGTATGTCAATTGAGGACCTCTCCAAATAAAAGAAAATCAATTTAACATGAATAGACTCGAGGAAAAATCATCCCAAAGGAACTCAGAGAGCAAGTGATTAAATCTAGCACCCATTCATGAGTAAAACACCCGTAACCAGGAACATAGGAAAGTCTTCAACCTGCCGACCAGCCACCATTCCTACAGCTACCCTAGCTGAGGCACAGCTGCAGCCGAGGGCTGTGAAGACTCTGCCTGCTTCCCATTCAGACCTTCCCACAGCTGGCAGCCTCCCTTTTGCCCCTGCACCTTCTCCCAGGAAACATCTTGAGAGTTGGGTGATTAGCATCCTCAATTGCAAGATTTTTCAAATTTCATTTTAAAACTTGGCTTGAACACTAAAAGTACCAACAAGTTCAACCAGGAAAACACCATTTCCAGTTCCAATATCAAGCACTGAAGCATCCAGTGGAATCTTCTGTTTTTGCATCCACCTTATTAGCCGACTCATACTCTCTTCTCCAAACCTATTAGAAACAGAATTGGTTAATCAAATAACAAAACTACAGAGCAAAGGTCACACAGATACTCCATTTAGGCAGATTTTTCAGTATTCTCAATTAGGTTTTTCGTGAAAATAAGAATTATCTGTGACTGTTTAAGCTTCATCTCCACTGTTATTTAAGAGAAAACCACCTCCACCCCAAAATCGAACTGAATAGGGAAGGTCTATGTGTTACTTATGAATGTTCCTCTACAACAGCATTAACACTGTACATGCTGGTGGACTCCAAGTTTTACTACTTATTGAAAAGTAAAATGACAGCATGAGAGCAACTTCCTAATAGTTTTAAATGGGGACCATTAAGTGAGCGAAGAGGGGAGGGAAGATACTTTAAATCTACCCACAAAAGCTCAAATTAGTCCAAGATTTGATATTTAGGCATTCTTTGGGACAAGTATTTGAAACACACACAGCTTCTGGATCATAATTTCACTACTGTTGTCTAACTCACCAGATTTCCCCTGTATCTCCATATTCTTGGAAAGTTTGCAGCTCTCTCTCATAGACAGCATCCCAGCTACATAATCAATTGCAAAGCAAGATCTTGAGTTAAATAGTATTATGAAATACATGTTTCTAATATATTAGTGCTAGTTATGACAGACTCTTAAATAAAGCATTATTAGTGTTTTAAGTCACATAGCTCAATCTCGTAACACCCACGTGTCAAAAGGAAAGATAAGGACAAGCAGAATACGTTTATACAAGTTAAAAAGAACTTAAAACAATACTTAACACATAAAAAGTACGATATATTTTATGCAAATAAGTACATCTCCAAGGATCCCTAAGTCCCAAACTGGTATCGAGTCATTTCTGCACATTCCAGTCTAAAATGTGGGGCCAAGGATTCCCCCCTGCAGTGGCTACTCACAAGTTCAAGTTCCAACCTTCCTCCTTTTTCAAGTGCCGTCGCCCACCCCGGCATCTCCGGAACCCCGGCTTCCTCTGCCCCCTCCCAGTCAGTGACCTCTCCACCTTTCCCCGTCATTCATTCCCGCAGCTACAGACCCGTCAAATCATCACCCAGCCTCTGCTCCAGGTCGGATCGCTTTCTCCGAACCAAATGCCCCCCAACCTCCTCGCCGCCTCGGGTCATCCCGCACTCCCACCTCCCTACCTGCGCCCCTCGACCTCAACAGGTCTCGCCCGCGCCTCGCGGACCCCGGGCCCGGCCACCCCGGCCCCAGCCCCACTTTCTCTCCCTTCCTCCCAGCCTGCCCGTCGGACTCCGCGAACCACCCGCGCCCCCGCCGCAGCCCTCCGGCCCCCAGCTGCCCGA